TTTAAAAAGTCATTTCAAATGTACTTTTAAGGACCTATTTTTCATATTAAATTTGGAAGGTTAATATTATCTTTAAAATAAAATTTAAAGCGATATCAACCGTGAATAACATAATTTATTTTGTTTATCTTTTGAAATTTGAATTGTATTGTATTTTATTATTTTGCTTCTTATTACCCAACCAAAAAGACATTCCATTAATAAATAGATTAGTAAACGTTGTGTTATAGATTTTACCATATGACTGGACAAATTAAGTGCAAACCAGGGCAGTCATAATCAAGAGAAATAAGTAACTTCAATAAGCATCAAACATCAACTTGCAGGCCAAAAAAAATTAGGATATGTACATACAACATCAGTTCTCTGAAGAGCACGGCCAAATATGTACTTAGTTTTCTTCATGGTCTAAATATGTATTCTCATCATTGTGTTTGTGGGAAAATAATAATGAATTAGATCAAATGCAACTTATCAAATAGCTAACAGAGTTTGAGAGGGACAACTTATCAAATAGCTAGCATGAGTCTACCATACACATACCCAAACCCACCTTCAATAGATCAGTTGAGTAAACATTTAAGTCAAACAAATCCAAATCAAATATATCCATCTCAGTACAGAAATATCACTAACACATACATGTACTTGAATGTGTGCTACTCCTAACAAACTAATAACTTCGAATACAATAAATACGAATAGAATCTACAACACAGAGAAGAAAACACACAAAAACCCAAAAATATCAAATCAATTATAAAAAATAGAACTTCATGCTATAGATGTATGATCTATTAAAGTACAACCGAGTTCAACAAAAAAAAGTCCATCAACTGGTTACCAAACTATGGCAATAGTAATAACGCCAGTCAGCTAATTAGGCAACATTAAACCCAAGAATTAAGAAAGAGAAGATCATAAATTAGGCAGGTTGAAACTGAATACATTTTTGGAATTGATCGAGTAAATAAGCAAACATTTTTAATGGAATTACGCAGTTGAAATACATCAGTTCAGGGAAAAAAAAAACTGTTCAGGAAAAAAAAACTGTTCAGGTAAAAAACTGAACAGATGAAAAAAACTGTTCAGGAAAAAAAAAAAAAGATCATCAAAAGAATCGCAAAATCTCACAAAAGATTAACCCATTTCCAACCCGAATCAGTTGAGATTATTCATTCCAAAAAATATTTAAATCTACATAAGGAAAGAATCTACACTGGGCTGAGCTCGGTAGAAGCAACTCGAATTTATTCATTCCAAATTACTCTCTGTCTTACTCTCAGGCAGGGAAACACCCGAAAAGCTCAATAACTTTTTGCCTCTCACTCTCCCTTTGCCTCAATCACAGTATTACTCTCTCTCTCTCTCTGCGTTTTATGTGTGTGTGTTTCCTTTCCCTCTCGCGCGCATCAACGCCTAGCCCCAATTTTGTGTCGCCGTCCATGCGGGTTTCTAAATTTGGTTTTGCTTACTAATAAGATAGGACTCATTTTGAATCTTTTTCTACTTTAAAATTTAATTTATTTGGAAAAGCATAAGAACGGCTCAGATTAAATCCACTTTTAATTCAAAGGCCCACATTTTCATCTCATTTCTTCCATTTCAATCCAATGGCTTGCAATGCATCTCAACCCAAAAAAAAAATCCCGCCCATTTTGACAATCTTGATTTCAATCCATTTTGACTATACCAAATGGCCAAGTATTTCTATTTTCTACATATTATGGAACAATGCATCACTCAATAAAAGACAAAAATGAAAAGGACAAAAAAATGGTGGATTCTTGCTCTTTGAATTAAGGAAGTTCTCCAGTTATTGTTTCTTCCTAGATTTGTGAGAGGACCTATAAGCAAAGAACCCAATTGCATTGGTTATGCCAACATTAATATGTTGGATCCAATATTAGCAACAACATACACCAAAAACATAGCAATTAAAGTTCATTAAAAGAATATCAAAGCAAAATGAAGTGTAGAATTAAATTGCCACATCGTCGCCCAATGACAGTCCTGCACGAAATGGTATTACTATGATAATTGCTATCATGGAAGAAAGATGAAAGCAAAGTATGACATTCTATGAATATGAAAGTGAAACTACTTAAAACACTCAAAATGGACATTTTATTTTCTTTTGTAACTATTTTTTTGAAGGAAAATCTATGGATATAAAATCAAAAAAAAGATAATAAAAGAAAAGGACAAACTGGGATTGCTCTTTTAGACAAAACAACTACTTTATATAAACCAGGCAATTGTGAAACCTTCAAGAAATAACATAAAAAAGTAAGATTCCCACCGCCATGAACAACTGTATGCTTCATGCTGACAGCTTTTTTAATTTTTTAAAATGCCTAATATAATCTCATCAACTACATATAATTACCCATTGCTGTGTTTTTTTTTCATTCCCCATCTGATGTATAATGTAAAGATAGACATTTACCTGATGAAAACAAAACTGGGCACTCAACTTCCTAGATATTCGAACCAATCTATTTATCACATTGGCCACCTTGAATATGAGACCCTCTCATTTTCCCAAAATTGAAATGAAAAAGGAAAATTTCACAATTGATCACATTCAACTATAAATAGTCAATCAATGAGAGTCATTAAGCAGCGTGTGTTTCCTAAACCCCCCTGTGTGTTCCTTGCATGATGCCATCTATAATGAGATTGATCATTCCTTTTATCCTTCCAATGCCAAAAAAATGATACTAATCAATTTCTCAACATGAAAGCATTACCTTTGCTAGTAGAATGAAAATGCTGCCAAGCTACCTCTATTATTGCTATTTCACAACCACTCTCTTCCTCCAAAGAAGCATCACAACATCAAATTCACTTCCTTCCAAATCTCAATAGTGTAAAGACCACATTGGCGTAATGTACATACCAACAACCTCAAGGCGGTGAGCTTTCTTCGATGATTCAATTGAACCTAATACTTTGTCTAACATCAAACATAACCAAAATTAAATGACGCTCAAATCTTCATATACAGAGAGTTGCATGGGTAGTTATTAAATTGGGTAAAATTCAATCGAAATAAATGACAATATAATTAACTGATTGAAAAAAAAACATATATAGAATCTAGCTGGGTCATTCTCTAACTGTTTGTTAAGATTTTATTATAAGAAAAAAAGAAAGAATTGAAATTAAAAAGAAAATAAAACCATAAATAGTTTAAAAATACCTTGCAATTCAACTATCCCAGGAGAAGCAGAATGTTGTTGTCAATGAAGGGTGAAACAAAGGTCTAAGAGCGAGAGAAAGTGCAGAAGAGAGCCAGAGAGTTTGATGGGTCTTTTCCTTTCCTTTTCTCTCTCTTTCTTTCTCTCCACTCTCTCTATTATACCTGTGATTCAATAGAAATGATTAAATCATGGCAATGAAAAACAAACATAAACATATAAAAAGAACCCAAAAGATATGTGTTTGAATTAACAGAAACTCCACCACATAAACAGGCAAACACACAAAAAGGCACCCACTGGCCAAGAAATTCGGCTTGACAATTCGTTGAGCAGCTGGTGTGTAGGATGTTCGGGTGGGGTTACAACTTACAACAATGGAGAACGTATTGAGGAAGAGGAGATACGTGAGATACTTGATAGGTGTAAGAAGTGGCACTGGGAGGCCCGTTGTTGCTGGTAGTGGAAGGGGGAGAGGGAGGTACCTGGGCTGAGCTTGGTGAGCCGCTGTGTTGAACGCCGTTGGTGTCGCTGCTGTGTTGATCGCCACTGTGTGCCGCTGCTGAGCCGGTGTCGCTGCTGAGCCGGTGTCGCTGCTGTGTGCCGCTGCTGAGCCGTTGTGAGAAGGGTGTGGGTAGAGGGGTAAGGGGTCTGGGTTGCTGTCTGGGGTGAGGCATGGCAGAGGAAATGGGTATGTAGGGAAATGGGTGAGGCATGGCGGGAGACAGAGAGTAGCTGTAGGGGAATGGGTTTGATTTGAGGCAGAGAGTAAGTAACTGTAGGCGTGTGTTTGGGTTAAAAATGGGCGGGATTTTTTTTTTGGGTTGAGATGCATTGCAAGCCATTGGATTGAAATGGAAGAAATGAGATGAAAATGTGAGCCTTTGAATTAAAAGTGGATTTAATCTGAGCCGTTCTTATGCTTTTCCAAATAAATTAAATTTTAAAGTAAAAAAAGATTCAAAATGAGTCCTATCTTATTAGTAAAGATTTAAATGACTCCTGAAAGGCAAAACGGACCCGAAACCATTAAAAATCGATCACTTCCCTACCGAACCTAACCCCAAATCAACCCAATATATATATGTGAACTCGATGACCTCGAGCTATAAGATTCCCTCTTATTTTCGACCTCCACGACACTGATATATCTCTCTCTCTCTCGGTTGAAGCTTGGGCTCTTCGAGTTCGGCTTCACTCATAAGCTACAGTTTTCACGAGAAAAAAAGTTCCCAGCAATTGGAAGTATATCGCATCTATGTGTATGTATACGCGCGTACACAGTTTCTGAATAAAGAGAAATTGGTCGATGATCGCGATTGATTGGCGGACGCGGATACTATTTATATTAATTAAATTGTTGAGTTTCAATTAGTCCCTCGTGAAGATTCTACGAGAATTATCAGCCAAAAAATATCTGTAGCGGGATTTTTTTTAAGTAAGTCGATAATTCATGAATCCAGACCAGTATCACTAAGGATTTTGTGAATTTGATGGATTTTAGTGAAGATCTTGCTTTAATTCGTTGAATTTTGTTGATTTTGGTTTTATAGTTGCAGGTAGGGTTTGTTACTTGGAGATTTTTCTTGGATCGGCAATGCAGGCTTTTTCTCTATTGGATTGGTATGATATGGTAATGAAAACGGTCTCAACTATGATTTTATTATGAATTTCAAAATGTAAGTGATTTGCGTTACTGCGTATAGTTGCTTTTTAATCGTGCAGGACTTGATTGTAGACAAGCGCAGTGACTGACTGACTTCTAGTTGGTGTCGTGATTGGTGTTTAAGCCAAGTCATGGCGCAGAGTAATTGGGAAGCTGATAAGATGTACGTAGCGTTCTTAGACTTCTTAATTTTTCTTCCTTTTTGTGCACTACATTTAATTGTTTCTCTCTTATTTTAACTGTTTATTCTCCCGATGAACAAACGAAGGAATAGAAAAATAAAATAGAATCTTCATCCCCTATATCTTAGAAAATTAACAGTAAAAGTGCTGTTGACTAAAACTGTTAACTAGCGATATTTAGGGCATTAAGTATATATTAAAAAAAGGAAAGAAAGATAAAAAGGAAAAAACTAAATAATAGAATCAGTTGTTCAAGATTCAAATTTTGAATTTATTTCCTTGCTTAACTTTTCTTATACCAGACCAGATTGTGATTTTGGTTCTTTTCTTTCGCGCTAAAAGTAGTTTCAAGTTACTGCTGTGTTGATCTTTATTTGTATTTTCTGTCTGTTTTTGTAGGCTTGATGTTTACATTCATGACTACCTGTTGAAAAGAAAACTTCATGCTTCTGCAAAAGCTTTCATGACTGAAGGAAAGGTTGCTACCGACCCAGTAGGTAATATAGGTATTTGATAATATTATGGTCTAGTTCTGTGGTTGTTTATTCAAAGGGTTAATTACGATATGAAAAAGTTCATAGGCAATTGTTTTTCCACCAATTAATTGAATAGTATGTATAAGTCAGGTACTTTTTGGCTGAAAATCATCTGGGGATATGAACTTTCACTTGAATTTTCAGCTATTGATGCACCTGGAGGATTTCTCTTTGAATGGTGGTCTGTCTTTTGGGACATATTCATTGCCAGGACAAATGAGAAACATTCTGAGACCGCTGCCGCCTACATAGAGGTTTGGGGCTATATTTGGAATTGGAATAAAAATTTTTATGTGGACATTACCCCTAGGGTGAGGAGTCCAATCTGATGCAACTTTCTATTTTGGGCTTTATAACTGAATATCAGACACAGCAAATGAAAGCAAGGGAGCATCAACAACTGCAAATGCAGCAGTTGCAACTCATGCAGCAGCGCAGTGCTCAGTTGCAAAGAAGGGATCCTAATCATCCTCCACTTGGTGGTCCTATCAATGCTATGAATTCTGAAGGAATAATGGGGCAACCCTCTGCCAGTGTATTGGCAATGAATATGTACGAGGAACGCATGAAACATCCTCATTCAATGGATTCAGAGACATCTCCAGCTCTAATGGATGCCAATAGGTTGGCCCTTCTCAAATCAGCAACCAATCATCAAGGGTAAAATCCGTAGAACTTTTTGCCGACTTTATATATAGTAAGTGACTTCCATCCTAGTATCCTATCTATTTGGTTGGATCATTAGTTTCTTTGGGTCTTCTTGTTGATTCAGCCAGTTGATACGAGGCAATTCTGGGAACTTGTCAGCCACTTTGCAGCAAATTCAAGGACGATCTCAACTGACCACTGTAAATAGTTTGCCTAAATGTCTAATATATGCTTCTCAATAATCAGTCTCTTACTTATTTTAACATGCTTGGGCCCATAACCTTTTTAATTTTTTTAGGATATTAAAGGGGAAATTAACTTGGGAGCAACTCAGAAATCTGTGCAAATGGATTCTTCCTCTATCTATGGACAAGCAATGTTGCAGTCAAAGTCTGGATTGGGCGGTGCAGGTAACATTGCTAAACTTCCAGAATGAAGCAATTTGCGAGATAAACAAAATTTTATCTTATTATCAGCAGAATATTGATTTATATTTTTCAATTTTGTTGGGTACATATTTAGTGGAGTTCCAAGCTCTAAGTTACTCCATCCAGTTTTTGTCATAACTCTGCTTGATTATTAGAGCAAATTTTATTTAGTAGTTCAGACCTTGGATTAGCTTGGCTAGGTGACTTAGTTTGAATTTTAGACAATCTGATTAGATAATTGACATATCTTGGATATTTTTCCATAAAAGTCCAGCTTCTCCTTAAATTTTCTGACAAATATCCGTCAAATGTCTTCTTTTTCTGGCAATCCCGCGAGATGTAATATGGTGGATATATGCCACTGCGTCCAAAACAATTGGAAGGAAATTTAGGAACATTTTGGATGCTAGATGATTGAGGGATGATATTGGAAACTGCTATGTCTCATCAATATGAGTTCTGCTGTCAAGTATACATTAAATGTTGTAATTTGCTTATTGAAGTAGAGATCATCAGCTATCTGTCTTGGACTTGGGAACAGCGACAAGTGAAGGTTCTTATTGAAGCAATGATGTCTGAAAATGGCCTACATACTAAATGGTGGACATGCAAAAGTGGTCGTGCCTGAATGGCATAAAGTGGAAACACTGCTAAATGATGATTGAGCCTTTGGTAGAAGGAAGAGATACATTTCTTCATGGTAAAATTACTAACATGAATTACTTTGTAGTGAGAACCACTTCTTTCAATGGAATAATGTGCAAAGAATGGCTCAAGCATCTTGATCTTGTCATGATACGTACAATCTACAATGAGTTGCTAACTTTAGTTGGAGCAACTTTCAAAGGGTGCCTTGAGCTTTTTGGATTTAAAACGCTTATCCATGAGCCTCCTTTCAGTATTTCCAAAAGTGCAGTCAAGGCATGCCTAGTGGTGAGACGGCCTAAGTAACTTGAAGGCATAGAGTAGTGCAAGTCCACAAAGCTTCTTGTTTTAGGCTTATTCAACTGTTGCAAGCAATGAAGTAAAGTTGGTTAAAACGTAACATGATTATATTACCCTATGTGATTTAACGTTTCACCTAAGAAATAGAAAGAACAATGTTACACACTTGGAGCTGACTTCGTTAGGATTCTGATCAAGTGAGAGGACTAAACCTCTGACTTTGAAATTCACCTTCTCTAGGGTCTCAACAAGAGAACCAACTTATAAAGAAAGAGATCAGGGAAGTATTTTTGGCCTTTTTCTTGGTTATTTCATGCCAAACCTTAAAGCGAGGTTTTTTTTAACACTCGAAGCCCATACGAATCAATTAATTATGTGTAATTAACATTCTATTCCATGTTTATACCTTTTTTTGTAATTATTTTTTGTTAATTAATATTTGTATATTTCTTTCTATTGCTACGTGGGTACATTATTATTATTTTTTTAATTTGTTAAATGAAGAATTCAAAATTTAAAAACCTTAAGGTCACCCCTCGAAGCTTTACCCCTTGCCTCACTAGGGGAAATGCCTTTTGGCCTTGATAACACAGTCATCCTTTACATGATTTCACCAAAAGCCACACTTCTACGTTTGAATGATTGCAGACCAGAAAAATTTTTGAAGGCTCCAATTTCCTTAAGGATATGCTGCCATATCACAGAAAAACTGAAACGGCAGTCGGACGGGTGCTTGTTCTAAATGGATGAAGAAATTGCTAATATAAGTTATCATAACAACTCTTTTTCGGAGCTGCAAGAATCAGTAGAGATATGCATTGCCAGAAGACATCCTAGTGCAGCTATCCGCAAAACTTAAATAGGCCTGCCCAAAGACAATACATGTTGCATCCATGGTGATTGAAAAATCATCATTTTCAGAAAAAAGATTCCAAACATATCTAGTAAACACAAAGTTTAGAGTTAGTTGACACCAGGATCATAGAGGAATATCTGGACAAAGAATGCATTCTGTTAGATATAATAGTTGGTGAGCTTTGCAGTCCAGCAACTCTCGGCATTTGTGTACTGCTGTCTGTGTATTTATGTGTTTATATATATACTTTTGGGTTTATAGTTCAGTGTAGAGTTTGCTGGTTTAAGATGAACAGAGGAAAGAAGCTGAATTAATTAGTGAAGCAGCCAATTTAAGTGCTACTACACTTGAAAGCCAGATGACTATTAATTAGCATTTCATACCTAGACGCAGGGCCATTTGCTTACCTTTGTTCACTATTTTATTTTTTTGGTTGCCCCAGTACCTCCATGGTAGTAAAATAAGTATCAAGTGTTTTAATATTGGTAGTCTTCCTGTTGGAAGATGTCTCCAGAAATATAAAGGGGCTGTGAGACTATGCGCCCATTTATGTATGTTGTATAATTTCAAAAGCTCTTTTCCCCCCTTTAAAGCATGAGAAAATCCATTTGTATTGCTCAACTATGAGCTGAGATTAAGAGAGTAAAAGAAAGAAAGAACAATTGAAAACTTCAAGCTTGGATTTCTTCTGTGACTACTTAGCACTTCCGATCAGCTGAGGACTCCTTATTTAACTGCATATGTTTATGTGTGCATAACATGTCTGAGACCTAGGTGTGGTTATATATATGTATGGATGATTTTTCTTACTTCTGCTGACTCCCTGTGTGATGTGAATAAAGAGGTGAAAATATAGTATCATCCTTAAATGTGCTTAATTTTTGCCTGTTCAATGATAATGAAATTTCTGTCTGTTCTACTGCTGTCATGTGAGGTATCGTGTCCCCATATGTTTTAGTGCTAATTAGGGGGACATGATATATTCTTCTTCTTCACTTGTTCTACCCCTTTAGATGTTTGCATGAATAGCTCACATGCAAGTCATGTTCTTGGCTATTTGGCTGAATCCGTGAAATTGTAAGTCTCTTGTAATATCAAATAAATCCTGTGTTATTTTATACGTCTTCGCAGGATTGCATCAAGGTGTCACTGCTCTTCCACTGAAGGGTTGGCCACTGACTGTGAGTTAGACATGTCCTTTTCTATTTTGTATTTCTGTTATTTGATTTAGAGATACATAAGTGCTTGACTATTGGTGCTTTCTTATCTTTCAGGGAATCGATCAATTACGACCAAGTTTAGGTTTGCAAGTACAAAAGCCCAATCTGCAGACTCAGAATCCGTTTCTTTTGGCAACACAACAGCAGCAGGACTTAGCGCAAGCCCAGGCACAAGGCAACATTGGAACTTCATCCAACTATGGGTTATGTGGATTACCAAGGGGTAATTTGAATGCAAAAGATGGTCAGACCACCAGAAATGATGGATCTATATGCTCCCCATTGCAATCAAATTCGCCTAAGGTACGATTATCTTCCAAATATCACAGAGGCGTTGTCTTTTGTGTGCACACATTTATGGCATGCTGATTCATTCAAGAAGCACGGGGATAGTGATGGACAAATTTTTAATAGGATGGTGGAGTTTCAAGGCCACAAGTCTCATGGTCAAAGTGAAGTTTCAAGAAAAAAATATCTATTGCATATGGCAAGTAGTTACATCTATCTAGAGTTACTGATACTAATTATACTTGCATGGAAATAGGAGAGAGAGTTTGGTTGCTGAAAATTACTTTTGAGATGCTTAGCTCCATGTGAGAGTTGAGTGATTCCTCCCTTGAATTTCCTCGTGTGGGTGATTCCCGTCTATCCTTCATTATTATATTAGTTATATGTAATATTCCATATTTGAATATCGATCCACTTTTATCTTTCAATTTTGGTCTGCATCACATGCCAATCCATAGGCCATAGTTGAACATAGGATTCTATATTTTTGCTTGACAATAAATTTAGAAATCTGTGCTAGTATATATCCTTTATGTTTGAATTTAGTGTTATGTGTAGTGTCCATTTGGATAATATATTTCGACCATGTAGATTAAACTTTTTGAAAAAGCAAAAATAATGTGAGCTGGTATTGCTCTCCAAATTTCTAGGCAATTTTTTGGTGCCAATAAAATAAGCGTTGAAGACCTGAGGCTGGAATAAGAGCGCTACTATGTATGGACATTTTTCGTTTCTCTAGTTTTCAATGGGCTTCAAAAGCTAAAGGACTTTGAGAGTTGGGGCACTACATCAAGTGTACAATTGAGTTACTGAGTATAATAGCAAACTTATGTGCCCTTTAAATTATAGCCTATTAATGTCTACATTGATTTGCTTCCCATGTCAAGTCTAAAGATTGGGCCCTTCATATTTTAATCAGTGCCATCTAGATTCATGTGATTGAGGTTAGTTTCAATAATAGGGTGCACGTAAGCAATTTTTTTATTTGATAATTAATAGTAAATTTCACTCTGACCCCTTGAGTTTTGTCCATTGTTAAAAAACATGATGACCCCTTGGTGGACATTTGGAAGAAGGGCATTATTGTAAATTTGTCATAATTATTTGTAGCCCATTGCTATATAATAATGTGTAGTGCAGCCTCCGCTATATCCCTTTCTGTATTTTGCTCGTTTCACAATGGATTTGGTGCGATTGTTTGGCTTTTCTTCCGATCTCACGATTTTCCACATAGATCTGTTTGTGATGCTTTTGCATCTTATTTTCCGTGCTTTTGTTATGGCATACTGGATCTTAGATCAGGGAGGTTAATTCCTAACACCCTTAACATATGAAAAATTATATGACAAGTCCAATCAACATTATTTATTTGTTGGCCTTTACAGTTCAACAAAGACTGTTTTACTTTCTGCTTAATATAAAATAAATAAAGGCAAGCCTGAACCCCTAGTCAGAATTGTGTTGAAACTAAATCCAATAACTAAAAAACATATCCCCTTCCCGTAACTTGCAAAATCAGCCCTCCCACTCCCACTCGCACCCGAACCCCATTAGAATCAGCTCCATACTTCTAGAAACCCTTACCATATATAACCACACCATTCTTGCCCTCGATCTAACCCTCACTCGGTTGAAGACATCCTCAGTACTCTATCTCTGCTCTCTGTACCCTTTCTCTTTCTGTCTCTTCTCTTAGAGGATGGGATCATTGACAACAAGAAGAAATAGGTCCATATATCTGATTTGTTCATAAATCAATTACTGATGAGAGGGGGTCTCGGAGTGATTTGCATAGTTGAGTGGGGTGGAGTTTATAGTGCTTTGTTTCTGGCTCCTCTCTCTTTTCTCATTCGTTGTCTCTCTCAATCAGTCTTTGTCTCTGTTTTTGAGCTGAAGAGGGGGACTGCCATGAATTTAGTTATTTCCTACAATTTGGGTTTAAAAGCTAGATGAGACGTAAGAAAGGGTTGTTTTCGGGTGAATTTGGTTGTAGATTGACAATTTGATTGTAGATTTGGTTACAACTTGGTTGTGGTTTGATTGCTATTTGGTACAGTTGTTCTTGAGAAGGATTGACCACTAAGATGTGTCGTTGATGATGGGTTTGAAGGTCTTGGGCTTGATCAGGAAATTGTTGGGCTAGGTTCTGACAACATCCAAATCTTGTTGGATCTTATCTTCGGATTTTTCTTGTCCTTTTTCTGTAAATGAATGATCTCAAGGTTAGACATGGCTTTGAGATTTTGGTTGTTGCTTATGGTGGGTGTAGTGGAGGGATGATGATGGGTTGATGGGGAAATTGTGTGCGTGTGTGATGATTAATGGTTAAAGTGATTAATCAATGTAATTTAGTACCAGAATTATAGTTCGTGGTTAAATTGCGTAATCAATGTATAGAATTTATAATCAGTTATTAAAATCAGATGGGTTACTATTTGATTAATAAACAAAAAGGAAAGGAATAATGTGAGATGGAAGTTAGGGATAAATTTGTCTTTTGAATAGAAATTTGGGGATAAAATTGTATTTGAATTCTTAAGCTGACTCTAAAGGTGGATTCTTAAATCTGGTGGTTAATGGTTTTTTGCTGGTGAAACTTTTTACCATTGGTAACATCTATTGGGGGGAGGGGGCCCTTCTGTTATTTGCATTTTAATTTCAGAAGTAAAGGCTGATCGTGTCATTTGTCAAATGTCAGGGGGTTGCTGTGGTTTTTTGTCCTTGGGGTCTGCGTCTAGTTTGCCCTTATTTTTGTAATTTGTGTGTGCTGGAGTATGTTTATTGATTTGTATGTTTGTGCCTGCATGTTGTTGTTCGCATCTCTAAAGACAACTAAGCTAAAAGAATTGAAACTAAAGCATCCTTATCCTGTGCCTGGGGGTTGACATCCTTTAGGACCGACTGCAAGGCTAGTGGAGGGAGACCCTCAGGTTCCGGTGTCCCATCGAATTGAGTTCCAAATCCCCATCTAGCTAGTTCATGAGCAGCAGCATTGGAGGATCTGCGTACATTATTCATGCTCCAATCTATGTGAATCTGCATTAGCTTCTTCAGGTCGTTAATATTTGGGAGCATGCTCCAATGTGGCTTCCTGTGGCTGAGCATTGTTGTATGAGTGATGATTTCTGAATCCCCCTCCAATGTAACATAATTCCATGCTTCAGCTGTTAGTGGATCCACTTCCGGATGAAAGGAGATGATAGATCCCAGGACTGATCCATCATTTTTCCTAGCGACGGCTGCTAAGCTGGATCTTGAGGCACCAATTGCAGCATTAAAATTGATTTTTATTTCGCCTTCCTGATGTGGAGACCACTTTGTATGTAACATTGGCAAGGGTGGGCCTTGGTTAGTTACCACTTTCCACTGCCTCATTCTTAGTTGAGGATAGTAATTCATTGAGGGACACTTGAATTTCATTTAGGATGCGCTGTGGATCTATGACAGCATTCTGGAACAGGAATTTGTTTCTTAACTTCCATATGGCAGTGACCATGGTTCCTATGAAAGGCAGTAGCTGACGGACCAGAAGGCTTGGGTTCAAGATATGATGTATCCACTGCTAGATGCTGAGTTGAGGTGATTGATCTGTGTTGAAACCCAGTGGATGAACCAAATCATCCTTGCTAAAGGGCACATGAAGAAGAGGTGTGAGCTTATTTCAGAGGATTGGTGGCAAAGTGAACAGGAGGTGTCTGGGACGCGGAATCTTGTAGCCATTATATTTCTAGTTGGAAAGGAATCAGAGGCTAGTTGCCACATTGTAACTTTGTGCCTCTCATGGATTGACGAAGTTTCTTCCAGTCTGCTTGTGCTAGACGGTGACTGGATTCATCGAGTTGCTGTCTCAATGTGCTAAAAGCAGAGCTAATCTCAAAGGTTCCAGTTTTTGATGGGATCCAAGCGATGTGATCAGGAACTGGGAAGGTGGGGATTTTGATTCTGGTTATGTCTTGGACTGTTTGTGGTGAGAAAAGTGTGGATAGAAGTTTCCTATCCCATGTGTTAGGGGATTGGTCAATCAGCTCAGCAACAAGGTTTGGGATGTCTTCAGCCTCAGGTTGCAGTTCCAGTTGTGGTCTGAATGAAGGAGTATAGGGAATTCATGGTTCTGTCCATATGTTGATTGAGTGGCCATCTCCCACAATGTAGCATGCCCCTTTTTCTATTATATGCCTGCTTCCAAATTGGTGAATCTCCTTGATGGTGTTCAACATAGAAGAATGAGCTCCTTGGACAGTACTTCTTACTGAATTGAGCAGTCCACATTTTATCTTTGTGCGCCAGCAGCTGCCATCCCAATTTAGCCATCAAGGCCATGTTAATATCACGCATCTTGAAGCCCAACCCTCCTACTAATTTTGGCCTACACATATTATCCCATGATGTAGTTACCATAGTTTTATGACTGTCAGTGTGTCCCCGCCAGAATTGTCTTATCTTGCTATCAATTTTTCATTTAGGAGATGCGCTTTTAGTAAATTAGTGCCGTCCATTCATCTCTTAAAATGCCTTGTCTGACACCTTTAGTTTGTTCACTGACTTTGGTGATTGAGGACATTATTTTGTGCGTTGCTATAAATGCTTTTAACTGAGTCTTTGCTGGGTATTGAACAGATGAAGATGCCCCAGATGCAACAGTCTTCTCAACAACAGGACCAGCTGCAGCAGCAGCAACTGCTACAGGTCGTGTGTGATTGTAAAGATATAGCCATAGGATCTCTTCTGATGAACTGAATCATTAATTTATTTTGTAGAAATATGCTATTTCCAACAATAATTCCATTTCTGCTGCCTTAATAAGCATTTGCAATTAGAACAACTTGTGCAATTGTTTTATTTTTTCATCACTTCTGTTCTTTGTTCTTTTAGAATATAAATTAGTTACTTCTCAAGTGGCTTCTTGTTTTATACAGGACAACAGAAAAAGAAAACATTCTTCTTCCGGAGCTGCCAATAGTACAGGTACGGGAAATACTATGGGGCCGTCCCCCAACTCTCCACCATCAACTCACACACCTGGTGATGGAATACCTACTTCTAGCAGCATGCAGCACGCAAACAGTGTGCCTAAGAGCTTGATGTATGGTGCAGAGGGAACAGGTGGTCTCGTATCATCTACGAATCATCTGGTACACCCATTTAAGTTTTCATGCGCAGAATTTACTCATTCAGTTTCTAGAACCTGTGCTTCAGCTTTGCCAATATAGTATTTGTACATCTCAGATCTCCGTGTGATATTTTGACCTGTTAATGTACTGTCTTGAACAGAGTTAATTCGGTAAAAATAGCTTCATTTTTGAAATCAAAATTTGAATGTAAGAATTTTGGTTTTTAGCTATCAGATCTGTATTGGTGAACCTTCTCATCAATATGTAAATTTACGAGAAAAAATGATGTGAAACATTACTATGGTTTTCAAACCTTGTTTCTTGATGCAGGACGACATCGAACATTTTGCAGATGTTGAATCATTTCTATCTCATGATGGAGGAGACGGGAGGGATTTATATGATGGCACAGTAAAGCAAGCTCTTACTGAGCAGAAAACAGAATCTTCGAAGGGTAATATATTGTGTGTATTTTATCCGCTATTTTGATAGATGATGTTCTATTTTTCTCATGCCCAAATGCTCTATTTTCAGGTTTTTCCTTTGGGGAAGTTGGTTGTATACGTACAAGAAATAAAGTTACTTCGTGTCATTTTTCTTCTGATGGGAAGTTGCTAGCTTGTGCTGGGCATGACAAGAAGGTATAATGCATAATCCATCATAAGGCTTCATGTCCTGTCACGAGTGCAGTCTGGTAACATTGTGTTTCATTTATACTGATTCGTGACATAACTTGAAGATTTTTGCTGTCACAAAGGACTTTCTTCTTAAAGATCTTTTAATATTTCTGGCTTATGTGCATTGGCACATGCTTGTCTATTGTCTTCTAACCTTTGATAGTCGTGTCATTCTAGTCTGCTTCTTTGTCAAAAGCTGGTATCAATCCGTCACTTCTATATGGACCATTTTAGTCTAGTACCCCCTAAGTAACCCCGTGGGTACTAAAACCACATAAAAGCTAGGCTTGTGAAATGAAATTTGAATGAGAACTATTACGATCAGAGGAGTACATCATACCATAAATATGATTACCGGTTAAACCTGAGTAGCAACAGCATGGGCAGTGAGAGCGGATCGGATACCGTGAATTATGATTTTAGAGGAATACAAAAAATAAACTAATACGGATGCTTAAATTAAGATATATGACATAAAGTCAACCCTGACTGGATACGGGGTAAACGAGGGCGCTCTTGCTCTAGTTATTAGTGGAATGAGGGATCAAGAGACGGATTTGGGGGGGGGGGGGAGATGACCTATCAATCATTGGTGGACCTTCCCGTGAACCAGTCATGGGGTTCCTTAACCGTGTCGTTTAGGGTCTAGAATTCTATCTCTACTCTAATT